CGCTATCTCTTGTTGCCCAGACCCTTTCAAGACCTCTGCAGGGGGTTGAGGCCAGATGGTCATCTAAGGAGACTCTGGACTCCGCCCCCCAACTCCACATCATAGCTGAGTCTAGAGAGACCTGCTGGACAGTGGGCTTCTGTCATCTAGCTCGCTGCCCTGTGCTGACCACATGAGGGTGCCGACCACTGGTTTCTTCTGGAGAGGCTCACTGGGTCTCTGTTCCATCGCCATTCCTCTTGGGCAGTTTGGTCTGGTGTTGGGCCACGCTCTCCTCTTCCTCGCTGCCCTCCTGCTACGATCCCCTGGCTTTCCCAGCAACGGGGTCGGGCTGTTCCGTGTCCTGCTGGCTGGTGTCCCGTCCTTCCCCTCCCACATGTCGTGCCCACAAATACCCAGAGTGCTGTCCCCGCCCGCCGCCCCGCTCAGCACTGGAAAGCAGGATTCTTTAAAAGCCTTCTTGACCAGGGGACCTGCCACTGTGGGGCCTTCCCAGACATACCCAGCATGTGTGGGCCTTATGTGCCATCCAGCACTCCTGCTGGTGCCACCCCTGCCTGCTTCTTCTCCACTCCCTCTTCTGGAATAAAAATGGCAATCAGCTTATCGACATGCGGGGATTAATCGGCCAGTCCACTTTCCCATGTGTCTGTCGCCCTTCAGGCAAAGTAGGAAAGGGAAGCGTGATTGATGGCCCACTGCAGGTTCTCTGGGGTTAGGGTTGGACGGTGGTTCTGACCCACTAGCAGCTCTGTGGGGGAAAGAGGAGGCTGGCCTGTTCTGTAAACACTGACGGCCTCTGAGACCCTAGATAGGGTCAATAGGCATTGGAATCGATTAGATGGTAGTGTTTTGTGGTGGTTGTTTTTTTTTAAATTATTATGATATTGGTGATGGACGCCCCCCCCTTCTTCCCACCCAAGTCTCCCCTCCCCCGCCTGTCCCCTACCCAAACCCTCCGGCAGCGGCTCAGCTCGCAGCGCTGTCCTGTCCTCCGAGCATGGCACTCTCTGTTAACTTGTTGCCCTCCAGTCTATTCTAGTCAGGGTGACACTACAGGGGGACGGAGTGGAACCTGCCCCTCCCAGGGGGTCAGACTCCTGGCCTGTCAGCTTGCTTCACCACTGTGGCACTGGGGAGGCTGCCTGTTGTCTTGAATCACGAACTCTCCCCGGCCCTGGCTTCCTGTTGGCCTTCCAGGCCCCCAGTGTGGGAAGGGCAGGGTTGGTTCTGCCTACGTAAAGCTAGTGAGATGAAGGAAGATCTCCGTTCTCAAAATTGCTGCTCTTTCCTCCCAGGGAGGGTTTTGGAAAGCACACCTTTCACATGTACTCGAGAATTGGCACAATTCAACGGTACCATTGTGTCTCCATCTGCAGACACTTTTGGTCAGGACTAATGGGGGCAGCGGGGCAGGAGGGGGCTCCTGAGAGCTGGTGTCTGGGATGCTGCTACCAGTAGGACTCGAGGCTGGTGCCCTCCCACAGCAGAGACGTAGCGGCCCAGAGAGCTGGAGAAAGTCTGCTTCGGGCCAGAAAGGATCTCAGACGTTCCCTTGCCTAGCTCTCTGCCTCCGAGCCCCGTCCACTGGAGAGCTCTTTCAATCGCAGGTCCCTCCGTCTCTTCTCCGGAAGTTCTCCTTCTTGTCTAGCTTCCACTGCTCCTGCTTTTAGCAAGTGTATTTCCTGACTTCTGAAAACTGGAGAGCGGGGGTGGGGGTGGGGGTGCTGAAGGCCTCGCGGCTTGTGTCTGGCCGGGGTCCCGTTCGATTTGTGCAGAGGCCCAGCGCCCCACCTCGCCCACGCTTTCTCACCGGCTGTTTCCCTCTTCCTGTATGTCTGTCTTTCCATCCTCAGGTCCCCAGGGCCTGACCTGGCCTTCTTGACCTCCTGTCCTGACAAGAACAAAGTCCATTTCAGCCCGACCGGCTCGGCCTTCTGCCCTGTCAGCCTGACGAAGCCCCTCTTCCCCACCATGGGCTTCCTCTTCCGCAATTGCCCCTCAAGCCCAGGCTCTCCCCTCCCCCCAGGCAGCCCCCGGCCACCTGCTCGGAAGGACCCAGAGGCTTCCAAGGCCTCTCCGCTGCCCTTCGAGCCGTGGCAGCGCAGCCCGCCCTCCGACGAGCCTGTGCTTTTCCAGAGCTCCCTGGTGGTCTGAGGCCTGCCCCGTGGAGACCGTGCCTTGTGGGCCCCTCCCGGAGCCGGGGCTGGAGCGGCCCTGCCCTCTCGGCCTTGAGCACTTTCCATCGTCGTGTCAAAGCCCGGGTCCTAACGTGAGGGGCCCTGCCTTCCCCACGAGCAGCCCGCAGCTCACCGCTCACACCCGGGTCCCTGCTGCCTCCGCACTTGGAGGACAACCCACCCAGAGGTGGTGGGTCCCCCACACTGAGGTGCGGCTCCACAGGACTACCCGTGAGGCCCTGGTCCTTGTGCTGGAGCAAGCCGGCTGTGACTGAAGGAGAGGGGATGGCCCAGATCGCCTTCGCGGCCCCTCACACACAAGGGGAGACCAGAAGCCAGAGATTGTCCTTAGCCCCACCCCTGTGGCTCCCTCGAGTTGGTGGGATGACCAAAGTAGCCCTGAAGGGCCCTGACACTTGACCAGTGTGGCTGCTGGCGGGGGTGCCAGTGTCATTTTTCATCTCGCTCTCCCCGACTGAAGCTTGTCTGAGCAGCAGGCCGGCCTGCCCAGCCCCAGGTGGGGAGTGGGGTGCAGGGAGATGGAGAGCGGGTGTTCCTCTGGGTGGCAAGGGACCACTCTGCACCCTCCACCTGCCCCAGGTCTGGGTAGGATTAGGGGGGGGGAAAAGCCTATTTTTCTTGTATTGATGTAGAAACTATTTTCTCCCAAAGACACTATTTTTGCAGCTGTTTGAAGTTTGTATATTTTCCGTACTGCAGAGCTTACACAGCCATTGAAGACGAATGTTCGATATTTGAGTTGTCTTATCCTGTGTTTAGAGGTTGTTTTGTGCATATCTCGGTGTTCCTCAACCAAATAAATAAATCATATTCCCAGCAGCTGGAGGTTGTGTTACATCTGTTTGGGGGCGGGCGGGGGGGGGGGGGGGGGGGGGGGGGGGGGTGTGTGTGGAGACGGTTGGGCATCCCCTCGATCACTTTGCCGTGTCTTCAAGGGAAGGAGTCTCACTCACCTGACACCCAAATGAATAATGCAGATAGGGTGCTGGGTGGGCGGACACGGAGGCCCTGTCCTCCGGCCCCCAGGCTGGGGGTCTTCACAGGCCGCACACGAGGCGCAGTAGATCCAGTAGAAGGCCGGCCAGAAGGGAGGTGTATCAGTGGGGGAGCCAACCATCCTTGGGCAAGTCTGGTTTGGAGAGGACGGCAGGGAGGTGCCTGGCCCAGGGCTGGTCGTCTGACCTGTGGACATGCCTTCCACCAGATCACGGAGTGAGACCGGGGAATGGTGTGCAGCTTGACACGACGGTTCCATGGTCTTGGCAAAGCTTTAGCTCCCTTGGGACCCTCATCTCCTGTTTCCTGACCCCGCACGCGTGTGCGCAGCACAGCCAGCGGCCTTGCTGGGTAGCTCCGTCCCTTTGCAGGCCCTCAGCTTTCTGGTGTCGCACCTGTAAGGTCTGAGACCTGAGGGAAAATGAAGATGAGCAGCCTAACATTACTGACAGCCAGGCAGGTTTGAAGGACAAAGCATTTTCCCAAGACTCGGTATCCCTGTAAGAAGTCGACTGCCCCAAGGACAATGAAAATAACTGTAGTTGTAGCAGAGCCCATGGTGTTGAAAGCACATGCACATATCTACTTCACACTGCAGGCCTGACAATAAGTCCTTAAACTGGGAATGTGCCTCTCGTAGCTTGCTGAGCACCAGAGATGTGGTGAGACATGGCACTGAAATAACAACAACCCAAAGAAAGACCTGTTAAGTTCTCAAGGTCCCTAAACAGGATGTTCTACAACCTACCATAGGGAATAGTCACCAAGGGCTTAAGAGCAGCCCTCTGGGGTCTTGCCTTGTCCCCTGTCCAGGCTCGAGAACAATGAAGCAAGCCAAAGATGCGTGGAAGCAATCCAAAACATAATGGACCGAGTGAAACACCCCCACCCGCCCTGCTTCCTCTGTGTCCGAGACAAACACTAGATGGTGCCCAGCTGACTGCTGCAATGAGGGCACCATAGTGACCCTGAGAAAAGGGGGGGGACGACAATGTGGAAGAGAACTCTAATAAAGAAATGCTCCCCACCCCACTGTCATGACCCAAATTCTACCTTACAAATCCGGTTAGGCCAGAACATGTACACTGGTACAGATAAGAACTTGAAAGAGGGAATCCAGGACAGATAAACCCCTCAGGACCAATAATGAGTAGTGATACCAGGAGGGGAAGGGAAGGTGGGGGGAGAAAGGGAGAACTAATCACAATGATCGACATACAACCCCTTCCCAGGGGGACAGACAACAGGAAAGTAGGTGAAGGGATACAGCAGTCTGTGTAAGACATGAAGAAAAAAAAAAAAGGTTCATTGTGGGGGGGGCGGGGGATGAGCTGATACCAAGGGCTCAAGGAGAAAATGTTTTGAAAACCATGGCAACATATGTACAGATGTGCTTGACACGATGGCTGTAGAGTTGTGGTAAGAGCCCCCAATAAAATGATTTTAAAAAGGAAAACAAAAAACAAAACCAGCCCACTGCTCTTGAGTGAGACGACGACCCTTAGTCACCCTTGAAGTCACTACTGTGGCTCAGCCTTCAGACCAACAGAGAGGACTCAACAGTACACAGTAAGACCAGGACTCCCGCAGCCCCTAGAACAACCAAGCTCAAGAGCTCAGGGGGCAGCATCTGCCCAGGAATAAGACTCAAAAGGCGGGAAGGACTGCCAAAGAAGGCCAAGTGGATTTGGTAAACACAGGGAGGGGTTGAGGGGGTTGCCGTCGATGCCACAAATCAAAATATGGGTGTATTGTTGAACAGAAAACCAGTTTGTAGACTTTTGCCCCAATGACAATAAAAAGTTTTAAAAAGATGTGACAAATCCCATTGTACTCCTGAGGAAAGGGCAGAAAGATTGAATACCTTTCCCCAAGGGACAGATAGGAAGGGGAGGAACTGGGATGGAAAGCCAGAGCATTTGAACCCAGTGTTTATGCTTTTAACCACAATACCGTTCGCTGTTCTGCTGCCCACCCTATTACGGTAACTGTTATCTTCACCTGTCAATAACCTGCACACCGGAAATTAACGGGGTGGGGGAGAGGGCGCTCAGGGGTGTGCAGAAACAGTATAATGTGTGTTATTTGCATAAAGTACATACACACCACCACCACCACCTCTGATGAGGAAGCTTGACTCAGAGGTCACCCGCTGAGAAGAGGCAGAGCCGGACCGGGAGCGTGGGTCCTGGCCGGGTTTCTGGCAGTCTCACCCCTGCTGTCGCTTGTGCCCTGGGATCCTGGGCTGACACGACAGAGGAAGCCTCTGGGCAGGTGTGGGGGATCCCTGCTCCTCACTCCCAGAAAGGAGACAGTGGGATGAGGACAGACCCTAGCTCTCTTCTGTGTCTTCCCCCTCCCCCTGAAAGAGAAGTCTGGCGGGCTCCCAGAGCCTTAGTGAGTCAGGCCTGGTGTGATGGGTGTGGTGCTGCCCAGTGCTTCCTTCCCTTGCTGCAGGCTGTGCCAAAGGACCAGCTGCTGCAAAGGAGGAGCCTGCATGCAGATAGCTGTGGAGAGCCCAACAGGCGGTCTGTGCGCGGGGCCAGGTACTCGGAGGTGGGGCCTGTCTGACCTGCGGTCAGCAGTGTTCTAGTTCTGTGCCCAGCAGGTGCACAACACTGAGGAGGAAGGTATCCAAGTAGGAGCCCCTTACGAGGGGAGACTGGCAGCAGCTGCAGCGTCGGCTCCATTGTTGGTGAGTTGTAAGAACTGAAGAGAGAATTCACTTCAATAAGCTGCCATTTGGGATGTGAAGAATAAAGGCAGGTTTGAGAAAGGGTAATGGCTAATAACACCTGCAACGTGCACAGCACACTGTACCGTTTACGAAAGAGCCTTCACCACTGTTTGATCTGTCAAACAGTCAAGAAGGTAGACAAGGTGGCCCTTACTAATTGTTCCTAGTTTATCGTTAGCAGGCAAGCCTTGGGCTGCTCACAGAAAGGCCAGCCGTTCAAGCCCACCAGCTGCTGGTCAGGAACAAGATGCAGCTATCCATCTGCTCCCAGAGTAAATGAAGATTTACAGACCAGGAACCCCTACTATGGATAGGGTCGCCATGATTCAGAATCGACTTGATGGCCGGGTTTTGTCTTTTTAATAGACTGGAACACGTGTCGCTCAGAATGCTGGGGCACGCGGCGATTACGCTGCCTCGAGTGATTTAAGACCCTTAATCCAGCAGAGGCTTGGCAGCGCTGCTCTCCCTGGAAGCCGAGGCTTGCGCAGGGGAGGAGGGACAGACAGACAGCTCGAAGGCGAAGTGCGGGGACTGCGGTCGTTGACGCCGGGCGGCAGCTAGAGGGCGATGAGGAGCCAGGAGCAGAGCAGTTTCCCGGCGTTAGGACCCAGCAGGAGCCCGCCCGCCGACTGGGGAAAATCCTAGTATTTAACTTTGCCTTGCCAGCTGTCCCGCCTCCTCCCCGCCCACCTGGCTGCCTTCGCACAGCGCCGCCAATTGGCGACGTCCACATCTGCATGCGTCATCACTCCACGCCCGGACCGGTACAGGCCGTCCCTGCAGGCTCGGGGTCGTGGTTGTCCTCGGAGTTGCCTGATCGGAAAAGCTCAAGGACGAGGCATTAACCTCGGGCCAGCAGGCTCGCCTGGAAACCGGGGATGGAGCCAAGGCCCCAGGGTGAATCTTCTCTCCTTGGAAGCAGCTGCTGGGACCATTCGAGTTTCTCCCTGGGCCATCCTGAACAAGGCAGTTCTAGCGGTGACTGCGGGGCCCTGCGAGGCGACAGTCGCATGCAGCTCCTATGAGGCCCCTGCCGCCGGTCGGCGATGTCCGACTGGACCTGTCGCCGCCGCCGCCGCCGGCCGTAAGCGGAGCTCCGGTCAGCTCGCCCGGGCGTCTCATGGCCGCTAGCAGCTCCTTGGTGCCCGACCGGCTGCGCCTGCCGCTCTGCTTCCTGGGCGTCTTTGTCTGCTACTTCTACTATGGGATCCTGCAGGAAAAGATGTGAGCGCATCCCCGCGCCGGGACGCTGCAGCCCCCGCCCCAACCCGCTGCCGTCTCCTCAAGCCTGTGACCCCCGGACCGCGGGCCTTGAGCCCCCAGCCCCGGGCCTCTCCTCCCGCCCGCACGCCGCGTTTCCGGCCCTCCCAGCGCCCCGCCGCTCCTGCAACCGGCCCGAGCCTGCCCAGAATCCCAGAACGGGAGAGCTGGTCTCTGGATTCCCGAGACGGGTCTTTCCCTAACCGGTTACACCTGCTTTTTACATCTGTCGGCTTAAGGGCCCACGTTTTCTGCTTGCAGTTTCTACACTAAAGCAGTGACTGTGTTCTAGGGCAGCTCATCCGTGGAGCTCCCGGGTGGTCAGACAGCTGACCACTCTGCCCTCCTCCAGGTGCCATCGTCTGAATTCCCAACCTTATCTAGCTCCGACCCATTTGGGTGTTGTTATTTCTAGACTAGGAGAGCAGCATTCTAGGATGTCAACTTTTTAGATCCAATAAAATCAACCCCCTTTTTTGGTAGATGATGAGAGTGAGCCTTGCCAAACTCTCCTTACATCCTGAAAGAGAAGACAAGTTCAAAACTCCAGGCAAAGGAAGTAGACCAATCTCTCCATTCTCCTTCCTCTGTGTTTCATTCTTAGAACCAGAGGCAAGTATGGGGAGGGAGCCAAGCAAGAGACGTTCACCTTTGCCTTAACTCTGGTCTTCATCCAATGTGTCATCAATGCTGCGTTTGCCAAGATCTGTGAGTACCTAGGCGAGACCTGCTGCGTGCCCCCTTCTCCCCTTTGTGTCCTGGGCATTCACCAATGATGGGAATTCAGCGACAGGGTCTAAGGACGACAGTCCCTACCCCCATT